GCCGGGACGCCGGGACGCCGGGATGCCGGGACGCCGGGATGCCGGGATTGGGATGCTGTTTGTGTGTTTTTGGTTTTCTTTGAATGCATTCTTTTGTTTTTGCTTGCCAGTGCCAGGACACTTCAGCAACATCCTGATTGACCTGAAACACGTGCTGCAGGCCAGCTGCCGAAGCGATCCGGTGGCTCGTACTGTACCGCTGCGTCGCTCATTCATGCAGATGCCTTGCGCAATTTTTAGAGACCAAGGGGTATTGGTCCAAGGGGTATTGTGCATGAAGTATGTAGTTCCTCATACTGGAGGTTAATTCAGAGGTGTTCGTGAACCACCTCTTAGAGTCTTGTATTTTAACCAGTGTCACACTTGAAACCACATCAAATAAAAATAGAGGATGTTCCCATTGAAGTGTTGTAACAAGACATCGCCATGAAAGTGTTGTCTCACTCATTGTGGAATTTTGTTTAACAGCATCCACTCGCTCTTTCTATGGCTGCAGCCCAAAAGAGTGGCGGACGGAGAAAATATTTGGACATCGAGGTGCCAAATCACGCTGATCGCAAGAATAGACGGGCTGCGCTTCAGCGGGTCTATGAAAGCCAGCGCAACTTGTAAGTAGATGTTAAATAAAACAATTGCTGTATTTTGGTTTGCTGGTGAATGGGGGTTGGTCTTTAGTCTTCGGGGTAAGTTTTTGGATGGACACCGCGACAACCTTTAGCTCTTGGAGCGGCAGTGTGAGGAAAGGGGAAACGAAAGAGGCAGCATGTTCCAGCTTCTTCCCAGAGTGCTGCTTCCACGAACGCTGGCGTGGCTCCCATCACGGACACTGCTGATCGCTTCACAGTGCTTGAAAGCTTGACGCACGAGAACTACAAGCTACGTCCTTTGGAGGCAATCAGTGGGCATAGCTAGAGAAAGAAAATCCACTGAAACTTGTGGGTGATGTTGGAAGTTCGGTTATTTTTGAGTTGAGGCAACGAAAACGATGCTCTTTGCCGGAAGCTTCGTTGCACAAGCGCCTCGTTGAAAGAAGCTGAGCACGAGATCTTAAAGTTGAAGGAAAAATTGGGGAGCAAGGCTTTCCCTCTTAGCAGGGCCTTGCAGTGTCGATAAAGGAAGTGAGATAAAAAGGTCTATCGCGTTGTGCTGAGGGCTATGCAGCTGTGGAATACTTTTTGTTTTAACTTTCTCTCAAGCTGCCAGGCTTGGTGATCCAGTGAGAGGGGCTTCATGAGCATTGCACGCATGGCAAGTAAATTGTATGTTTTAGAATCCAAAGCGCACAACAAGCATGGCAAATAGATCTGCGCGGTTTCAGGACTTCTTCAACATTCTGCTGAGAAAAGGTGTGATCAGATGTGATCTCAATGTGCATGAGGACATGGTGAAACCTGAATATAAAGAGGTAACACCTGAAAGCGAGGAAATCTACTTCTGTGTCTTTCCTGTCTGGTTGTGTGAATAAAGGCCCCCCCCGTAAGAGGTCGGTGGTTCCTGACTTCTGGCTATTCTGGCAGCCACACTCTTCATGTTTCTTCATGTTTCGCGGCCCCGGAGAATAAAAAGTCACAATTGTACCACCAGTGCCCTAAATGAAGCCCCAACAACTGACCCAATCACTCCCATTCTGCCCTTCAAGGGTCCAAATGGTCTTACAAACATCGTGATTCCACACTGTTGCATGGTGATTCACATCACTAATTCACCTCGCCTATCGAATGCGTATATATATATATATATATATTATATATGTATCTTATTCCTGCCGCTTCAAAGCATAAAAAAAAGGAAAGGAAATCAAACACACGCCGTCCCGTTCCCATCGCTCTCCCATCGCTCTCCCATCGGCTCCCCGGCTCCATCGCCCACACAGGGCGCTGTGCCGCACCCGGATGTGCCGGGCGTGGCCAGAGGTGCTAGGCGCCCGTAGGCGCCGGCGTGAGGCTTCTGGCCGGAAGGGACGTGGAGCCGGGACAAGCGTGCTGAAGAGCAGCGTCCTTTTTGGGGGGGATGCCTTGCGGGATTGGAGGGAGGATGGGTGGGTTCTGGGGCGGGGTGCATGGCCGAAGATGTGGAAGAGGTGCTCGGAGCGGGGCTTCCAATCTGATGTCCATGTGTCATTACACAAGACTTTCTCCTTGAGCACAAGACGCTCATGATCTGTGATGCAAACGACGCTGAAATAGGGCTGTCACATGATCCACATGACATACATCTATGACTGCGTGATTCATGAACTACTTCATCTTCGGCCATGTGGCTTTGTCCCTGCGTCTTTGGGGACTTGATGACAACACATTCTCCTACCCCATCCGTCACCGACGCTTCACCCGAACCGCGCGGGTTGCGACAGGTGCCGCTCCTTCCAGTCGTTGGACACCAAGGCCGCGGTGACCTGGACCTGGTCCGATGGACGGACCGGACCCAAACAACACTGATCCATCTGTCCTTCTATGTGACCATACCGTACCTGTCTGCCAACCGAGGTGAAGACCACATACGAGAAGTAGGCGTCTTTCTTGGTTAAAAGAAACATGGGGCTAACGTGCTCATATATTTTTGGACGGCAGCAGCTTCTTGACTTCTAAAACGGGACAAACCCTTTCCCCTTAGAATCCTACGTGCAACATGTCGACACCTAAGTTGCGGTCAGATTTCCACACCTGAAAGCCTTATAAGTATTGTAAATTTAAAAGGGTGTGGAAATCTGACCGTGCTGTACCTGCCAGGCAAAATGGACGTGTTAATCCGATCCGCTGTAGACCGCAAGTGTCATGTTGGAACAGAGTAAGAAGCGTAAACTTTTAGGGTTCTTGAAGTATGTACGGTCAGAGACCGCTTTGGCGAGTGGGATGGTGAATACCCGGACGACACTCAGACTCAGCTTGACGTACTCACGTTGCTTGGGGTGTGACCGGCTCCGCGTTCTGACACGGAGAAGAAATGACTAACGACCAACAACAACAAGAACCCTATATGGCATCGCTATTGTGTGTGTGAACACTTATACGTCTTGGCCCATGCCATATAAGGAGGGGATTCACTCATGGGGCGAACCTCCACTTCCCTCACCCGGTTCGTAGACCTCCCGGGCGTTGGGCCGCCCGCGCCAGATGTTGGTCGCGCCAGACTTCCATGACGACCGCTCGCTCGGGGAAGATACAGAAGGGCCCTCGGCTTAAGTCGATGTAGAAGAACTCCACGCCTGTCTCGTCTCGTCTTGTCACGCCAAGAGTCGACTCGGCAGGGTGAGTGGGATTGAAGGGTAAAATATGAGGCCGGAGAGAGTTAGGCCGGAGGTCCATGGGAGAATCTTCGGGAGTTATTGGAGGTCCCGGACTTGCAGTGGGAGTGGGTCTATCCCAACAGGCGTTTCTGTGGATGCTTCAGTTGCGGGCCCCCCCTTCATCTCCAAAATGGTGATGGGTGTTGAATGTGACATGTAGGCAGGACAAACGGCACAGGTACGACGTTTTGAGGCTGGAGAGATCATCGGAATCCTCACACTAATTAAACCACCAGGTCAACCATTCTTTTACTGGTCTTTGAAGGCAAAACATGGCGAACCATTCACGTGTTCCTCCCTTCTACTTCTTCACCACGAAGCCGTGGCTTTCGACCGGGCTCCCACCGTCCGGACCAACGGGCTCCCACCGAGTCGCCTCCTTTGCTGAAGGTGCCGATCACTGGAAGAGCACCTCTGTGGGTTGTGCGTGGGGAGAGCTGCGCGGGACACCGCACCCAGCGTGCTGCGCAGGTCCACACGCACGCAGGGAGAGCTGCGCAGGGAGAGCTGCGCAGGAAGAGCTGCGCGCGGCGGCCAAGTGCACGACGTTGCCGCTGGTAGAACGCAGTGGCCGCTGCGTTCAACGCGGCTTCGTCTGAATCAGGATCTGACGATCAAATCGTCATGTTTTTTCTGCACGGCACTTTTGCCCATTTGCATCATCTAGTAGAGATAGAGAGAGATAGAGAGAGAGAGAGAGAGATGAAAAATGAACGCGAAACATGTGCCCATGGGTTTCCACCTGGTGTCCACAATGCTTTCCACTGAGAAATCCTTCTCCAGGTCGAACAAAAAGACCTTTCGAACATGTTCCCAAACACTCTCGCAGCGTCTTTTCCCAGCCTTTCCAGCGTGCTTTCCGCCGGCCTGTCACGCACGCGGGAGGTTTTTTCTTCCGCCTTTCTTCGGTGCGGAACGAGGCAGCTCGGGCGATCTGAGGGGTTTTTAGAGTGGTGAGTCCCAATGCAGTTTGAAACTGGGGTGCCACCAGGATCTCATGAGGTTCCACATGATGAACGCCTCACAGGATGAACACCTCACAGGATGAACGCCTCCCCTTTGAGCCTTCCAGCAAAATGGCTCCCAGCTTGTTTGATGGAATGATTTTGATGACTTTTTGCAGCTGAACATGGGCTGAACCAAAAGAATGTGTCCATGAGAACTCCTGCAAACTCTTTGCCACTCACGTGTCTGCTTCTTGAGCCCCATATGCCCTCATTTAGTGTGAAGGGTGTCTAAGTTCCATTCCACACCATTTCCCTGCAGTAAGTCTGGCCTGGCGGAACAGCAGAAGGCTCTCCTGTGCGGAGTTTGAGGCGTCTTCTCAGGTGTTTGTCCAAATGCCAATGGGTCACTACCCCACACCCTCCAACACCAGCAGATGTTTGTCCCTCTCACAATTCGGAGGCTGGATTAAAAAAGATCCTTCTGTCTGGTCATTGTGCATTCTAACCCATGCATCTGTGAAATTCAGTGGATATCCGTGGACGAAGAAAACGGAAGCTGGATTCCTCCCCTTTGCTTCCCTCATGGAAGCATCCATCCACCGCTTGGTCTCGACCATCCATCCGTTTTCGACCTCTCCCATCCCCGCGAAACCCCGCAAGCCTGGTATTGCCTGGCGGGAAACGTCCGCGTTGTTGTCGACCGGCTCCATCCATCACGACCGGCTCGGTACGGAAGGTTCGGTGTCTTTCCAACAAGACTGGGAACGATGGTTTCAACTGACTGGTTCAAAATATGACTTAGTAAGATCAAACATCTCAAGTAAAAGTTAACCATACAAGATATCCGAAACATTCTGAAACCACGCACCCAAAAGAAGTGTTTTTCCACGTGTTCTTCCAATGTCTGAACCATCGCCTTCGAACGGGGGCCATGCCATCCAGTGTGTAGCTCCAAATCAGGGAGACCCCCCAGGCAGTTCGACCGAAAAAGAAACCTCCTCGACGCAAAGATCTAATCCATTTGGGCCAGGGAGATCCTGTCTCACAAGACACACTTATGCGCTCGTCTATGCGTTCCTCGTGTTTCGTTGGATTTGGGGGGGACGGAGTCGGGTGACGAATCGTGAAAGCTGGAGCCCGTGTCGCCGAAGGAAAGCTGGAGACGCAGGGACGTGTCACCCGGAGGAAGTGTCAGTTCCAGGAGGTGCCCACAGGGTGACACGAATTCACAGGAGTTGAAAAAAATAACCTTCTAAAATCATTATCCTAGGTTGAAATCACAGCAATTCCAAGCGGTGGCCATCATGCATCCAACATGCGCTCATGTATATGGCTGTATGTTGTGTATGCCCTTTTAACAGCTGCGTTCTTACTTACAGAGTCCAATGGTTCCAAATGTGAAGCTGAAAGTAGCCATCCTCTTGCACACAGAAACAAACTGCCAAGACTATACACCCTGGAAAGCACTTGGACAAGTGGTCAAAGTTGCAAAGGGGTCTAGCGCGGATCTAGCGCGCTTCCCTGCCAGTGCATGAGGCCACCAAACGTCTGTGATCAAGAACTCGCTTTCTCGTCTCTCAAACAGTTACTCCCTTTCAAACAGTTGCTGCCTTTTTCAGCGCGCGCTGCCTTTCAAACAGTTGCTGCTCTTGTGCCTGTGCGGGTGTGTGCGTGGTATGTGCACCAGTGAGTGACCGTTACAATCAGCTCTTGTTTGTTAATCTTTTCTAAGTTACCTAAGTACTTGATCCTAGCGCCAAACCTAGCGCGAACCTAGCGCAACCCTGCGTTTTGCTAGCGCGACGAGGTAACATACCCACTTTAAACACCAGAATACCAAGCGGTGGCCAAGCGATTTCTGAACCTCTGGGAACATTCCT